TGATCTGTGAATATTAAGATCAAGTCCAAATTTCTGTGTTCCCTTCATCTTTTCTAAGATAAAACTTACTTCTACTTGCTCACTTCCTTGACAACAAAGCGACCACAAGTCGTTGATAAGACCAATGGTAGCAGAGTGATGAACAGGAGGTATATAGCCTTCCGTTTTGGGTAGGCTGTAAACTCGCCGGAGACAACTTAAGCAGCGCGACTGAAGCAACCGAAAACAAAGAAAGAAAGAAACATAGAAGTAAGTATGGAATGGTGGTAATGACGATAAGCTCGTCGATAAATTCGGGATCAGGCAGATCTACTCCGAAAGTGTCGAGAAACTACTTCGAAAGTGACTAGAAACGTGACAGAAAACATGAAAAAGACTGTAAATTTAAGACGAAGTGAACCACCTGTATTGGAAGATAATGAATCTCATTCCGGTATCATCTTTTCTTATGTTAGCTTGCGAAAAAAGTGAAGACGGTGAGATGGCTTAATTATATATCGGTAGATAGCTGTAAAAGTAAAGTAAAGTGGCATTCAAACAAGTCGTTATGTTTAATTGTCAAGGTACATACCATGAGCTCGTTGTCTTCTGCTGATTGGTTCGCTATTCGCGAGTGACAAACTTGTACACACAAGGGAACAAGAGAACGGCAAACCTAAAATTCAAGGACATTTCAGAGGATTCACAAGATTTGAGCCCAGTATTACTGGAATGAGACTTGGTAAAATATAATAACGGAACAATGACATGAAACCGGAGCTAAGTTTTTGATTTTACAACGAGAAATGAACAGTGTCTAAGCTCGTTTACAACTAAAAGATGATTGAACCTTTTTGACCAAACGAAGATACAGTAGTTCACAAGCTGATTCTTAAGGTCTTAAAAACAAAGGAAAAGAAAAATAAAGAAGCTCTTGAAGTAAAGGTTAGTGCACTGCACTCCAGATTTTAAGTCCTCTGCACCTGTAAAAATTCTGAAGAACCATGCGACACAAGGCCAAATGCAATGCTCGAGAATCTTATCCAAGTGGAGAACCAGCAATTTCTATTCAAGCCATGACATTGACGTCACAAACAAAATTCCTGCCTTGAAAGCCCCCGAGACGAGGCACAAACTATGATCACCAATACCTATTTAACAATTATTCGCCGAAGGCGAAGTGAATATTATTCAAAAATGTTCACTGAGCCAGAGGTGAATAATTGTATTAGTATGACTGCTCAGGTACTTTCGAATTGTTTTCTAAAATCTGTAAATTAAGAATAAAGCATTTTTTTTCCAATTGCATTGAGTACTCGTTTCAAGATTAGCAAGCCTTTACCTTTTTCTTGACGCTCTCGGGCATATCTCGTAAGGGATAAATGCACCACGCGGCGATGTTTTCTTCTTTCGACGGTGGAAAAGAAACAGCAAGATTCTCCTACCGAAAAACGTTTGACCGAAAATTGAAGTGAACACCTATGATATATAGATAATGTTTCTGCTATTCTCAAACAAAAGTAGAAAACTGAAAGCGGACGTTGAGTACTTAAGTGTTTCATAACTAATCGTGAGCCAATAATTATCATACATAAAGAATGGCAAGTAAAAGAAAACCAAGGAAGTTTTATTAGACAACACGTACTTGATGTTCTACAGCCATAAGGCGAGTAAGACGTTGAATGAGCAGCGACAAATGGATATAACCAGCACTTGAAGCAGGCAACTGTGATAACTGCGAAACAAAGCCAACAATGACCGTAATGAAAGTTAGACTGATCCACAGTTCGTCACAAAACGTTCCGCTAAGTGTTCCTATACGTTGTGGCCAACCGAACCACAGAGCGAAATTATTGCTTTTTGTCATCCAGAGACGCTGCATGTACAAATACTTTAGCGTTTTATCCACCAAGGGAATCTTAATCGACAACTATTGTTAAATCCCAAAATACCTTATGTAATTCAGTGTTTCCAAAAGTTCACACACTGATAAAATAGACAGTAATTTTTGTTTTGTTTTTTATTTTCTTCTTTGCAACGAAAACCTTGCAGTCAACTGAAAATGAAGGCCTCGCTGACGGATATTTCCTGTACGGTAGTCACCTGCTGTAAGCCAACATGAATAAATGATCCCTAGCTTATAAACCTGAAGAGTAGGGAGCCTACTTCTGTCACAAAACGCGAGAAATAGTATCCTAGGCAGGGTAGAAGAATGAAAGGTTTTTTTTTTCCACAAGGGTTGGTGTTTGAAGGCCTCAGTGGCAAACCCAGACTCAAACTTCCCTTCCCAACATCCCAAATTCCAATTTGACCTGGAAACGGTAGAAAAGAAGAGCCACCTCATGGAATGTACGCCGCTTTAAAATCTTATTATTGTTATTATTGCTATTATTGCTATTATTGTTATCATTGTTATTGTTATTATTATTATTATTATTATTATTGTTATTATTATTATCATCAGTATCATTATTATTATCATTATCATTGTTATTATCATTATTAATTGCCCCAGAGTCGAAAATTCACCTACCAGTTGAGTAAGAACTATCACATGTCCCGAACACAGCTCGGCAGAGCCCCACCTACATGTAGACAAAAAAACTTATGTTGTAGGGTCTTCTGATTATGTACTAAATGAAAAGTAGTTGAATAGCATGTATCAAACATGACACTATATGTCTACCTTGCCATGAAGCACCACACATCACTCGAGAGCAAAGCACACAGCAGGTCATCCTGAAGGATGTGCTCCAACAGGCATCGTTCCTAAGAGAAAGGAAATAAAGGAGAGGTGTAATTGAAGTAAAACCCCAGATATGTTAGCCCTTTAGCTCCCAAAAGTGATTAACATGTAACATCTCCCTATAATATCCATACATGATCCAGCAAACAGGTAACAAGAATACTAAAACTTCAACTAAATCAGTAGAAATTCTGATCTCGGTCTAACAGTAAATTCTTGTAATTAATATACAAGGAATTGTGTAGCAGCTAGAGGGGAGAATTATCAATCAGATCTTGGGAATCAGAGGGTTAAGATAAATAGATCATTGCATGAAAATTGAGGAAAATTGAAGCCAAAAAAAGGAATACTTTAGATGAAAAAAGTTCAAATGAAATAAAGAAAACCATTGCATGAATGTTCACAACCTGACTACATTTCAATTCTCTGAGTTCAAACAATGTGGTAAAGATGTCTTGTCTCAGAGGTATTGCAATCAACTGGTCTGTCAGTGTAAGAACTGAGCCATTCTTGAAGCAAATTACAACATGGTTCTCAATGTCCTGACATTTAAGAAAAGTTATGAGCACTGTGTTTCTATCAGCACTACTTACCACAGCAGAAAAACATACTGCTGGTGTGGAAGCCACAAGAGAGCACATTCTAGTACAAACATGCTCATACAAAGTTACCTCTCTGAGGAAACAACAGAATCAAAATGATAATTTATCTTTGTCAGTCTTCAAATTAATTGCCTAGTGAGCATAAAATATCGAATGGTTAGCAAGCTTTAGACAATTAATGTAACAAATAGTCCAAACTCCTTAGTTAGGGGGAAAATAGGTTTAAAATATTTTATTTATTGACCAATAACATTTATTATCATATGGCATGTATGGCCCTGTGTGCAAGCCCATAGAAACCATAGTGAAAGCTGACATGTGTAAGGCCAGACAGGTTGATGTGGGTTGGTCCCTAATAAGCTGTCTGGCCTCGCACTCACACAGACTACAAAAATTAGTGTTTTTTTCTTTTTATGAATTATGGGTTTTAAAAGTTCTGACAAGAAAGACAAAGCAAAACTTCCCAATTTAGAATCTGTTTTGTTGTTGTCCCATGAGCTTTTATTGCATACTATCTAGGTTGAAACAAAAATTTTCAACATTCAGTGGTCATATGATAAAATTCTTATTGCCTGAGTTTGGTCAGGCCGGATGGGATAATATTTGATTCTCAGTCAAGGCCCATCGACCTTGCTGCACTCTGTACATCATCTGTACAGTCAATAAGTACACATCGACTTCCTAGCCAAGAGATGCTGGACCTAAGGTGAGCACAGTAGTGCACTCCACATTATAGGACCAGCAAACCTAGATAATTCGGATCATGTGTATATCGATGTCGACAATCGACCGACTATTGGTCGACAGTTGACCGACAGTCAACCGACAGTCGACTGATAGTGGCCTGATATATAGACCGATAGTCGACCAATGCATCACCCACACATTTATTGGTCGACTATCGGTCGACAATCGACCAACTATCGGTCGATAGTCGACCAATATATCGACCGACTGTTGGCCGATGCATCAGCCGATATGTGCACATTTATCGGTCGACTGTCGGCCAATATATCGGTCGACTGTCGGCCAATCTATCGGTCGACTGTCGACCGATATTCGACCTATAGTCGGTCGATAGTCGACCGATATATCGGCCGATGTATCTGACGATATGTCAACCGAGGCCACCTATAGTACACATGATCCGATAATTCTACAGAACAAGGCCAACCACCAAGTAAAAAGAGGATGAGGTTCTATAAATATATTCATTGATTAATAACATTTATTAACTCCCTAGTTTAATGTAACAACACAGTTGTAATTTTTTCTTCTTTTAGCACATGGCCACACCTCAATGGTTTTCCCTTGCTCATCACACCTTCTACACATAATGGCAGGCTAACCTCCACAACACCTGAAAATAATAGAAATGCACATATTAAAACATGCATGCATGTTCACAGCACCTCATCAAAGAATACTTACACCGACTGAAATACTGAAACACTGCCTCCAAAAGTGAATGACGACATTCCTCCTGTTGAAGACAATAAATACCGTAACATGCTAAATGGCGTAAGGAAATTTTTTTCTTTTGCTTGTTATTATATACATACATATTTCTTTAACAGACCTTGCAATTATCATGGCAATGCCATTTTTTTGCCAGTTGCAATTTTCTTTTAACCACAGTAGAGTTACACCCTGTACCTTACCTCTGGGTAATTAGTAGGTGAGATCCAATATGCAAATACATCCTCTACAAAAACAAAAACAACACTGCATTATTAGTGAAGACTTTAGAAAAACATTGCAGTAAAAATTACTTCCTTTCTTTTAATCAAATCAAATCAACCCACATAACCAGCCACATTGCAATTCAGACAAAAAGTGCACAATCAGAGTAATAAATGATGGCACATGCCAAATTTTTTTCCGTTAGAAGTTCTTATTCAATATAGAAGCACAACCTTTCCCAGATAATGTTGAACTCAGTCTGCAACTGAGGTTAAAGATAGAAAACTCAACATTAGAGGAGTGGGGAGGTGGAGGCAATAACATTAGGACCAATCGAGTGAAAGATTAAGGCTATCAAGATCTGGGCCACTGATTGTATTTTGATTCTTACCAGACAAATGTAAATTAAGTAGCAAAAAAAAGGAAACTTTTAGAAGCCTAGGTGGTGATAGAAATGACAAAAATAAGGTTATTTTTCAGCTGGAAAAGTTTTCATCCCAACCCAGGCTGGTATTAATCAAAAAGGAGTTTATAGCGGTTGCAGTTAGCAGTTAAGATTTGGTAGACATTACAGTTAGTATTGGAGGAGTTTGTTCAAGTTAATTACCTGGTGTACTTGGTAGAACACTCAGAATAGTAACCAGCAAACAGCAGTGTGCAAAATGACTCTTGTCATCCACCACTGAAAGAAAATCCACCAAAATAATGATTTACATTAGAAACTACACTCCCATGACTGTCTGGGAAAATCCAAAGATAAAAACTACTTTCTATGACCATACTGCTAAAAGCCCAAAAAGAATGATGAATGCCTCCTATATTTCAGACTTACCTAATGATTTCCTAGTTATTAGTTTGGCAAAGTGTTTGTTTTTCACAATAACAGAAAGCAATGGCTCCACCTTAGGAAAAGACAAAGATGTTTCAAATAATAATTACCACTACCATATAAGCATACTCAATACTTCCATTATCACTAAAGTTATCATAAAATATGACACAGTTGAAGTGTCAAGGACTTGATTAGTAATGGAAACATGACCACCCATGTATGTATTAATTATGATAACTTTTATAGACAAATATATGACAAAGAGTTGTAAAAAAACAGTATTAACTTTTGGTTGAATATTTTTTGAATATAGAGGAAACAAATTTCTATAAGCAATAATACAATACCATACTTTATTCAGGAGATACAAATAATAATAATAAAAATACCTCTTGAGACAGAAATCGTGAGGTTAACCCTATGCATGACAGTTCCCATAAATAAAAAGCATAAATGTCATGTGCAACCTAAGAACTATTTACAAGCTGTAATAAAATGTGATATCAATTATTTTCCAAGTTAAAAATGATAAAACATACTTAATATATACTAAACAAAGAAATATATTTTGCACATTAAGCTCACCACTATTAATAAGGCAGATTTTATACCCTGAATTGCAGAGGCATCAATTTTTGGAGCACTTAGGCTTGGAGGTAAAGTTCTGAGAGATGGAAATAAAGAAACACTTATTATACACTTAAACTAACACTAGCTAGTTTAAAGAGAAACAGTGTTATGGGGGTGGGCAAGTGCTAATTATAAATTGCTGTACATAAAATACAGGTGAATTACATTGAATGCTTTAGAACCATTATCCTCTTGTATATAAATTTTTTCAAAAAAATTAGCAGGATAGACAGTTTCCTTTACCATATGAAAAGCATATGAGTTGTCAAAGTAAAATTTAACACAGTTTTACACATACCTTTGAATCATTAACAGAAAATGAAAAATATTTTCCAAACATGTGTCATAGTAACCATCATATTCCTGTAAAAATGTTGATGACAAAAAGGAACATGTAAACTAATGTGCTTGAATTCAGTATTAAACTACAACAAATTAATCACATTATATATCTCAAACAGAGGATTATTTAACAGAAGCTCATATGAAACTGATTGAGATGGAAAGCAGGTTAGTGATCTACTGACCATTTCCTTACCTTTGTGAGATGAACAAGGTGACCCACCAAAAATCGCATAATTTTAAGCATCTTAGCCAGAGCCACTTCATCACCAGTAACCTGAAAAATCAACTAACATCTATCACCACAAGTTCAAGAATGAGGACAAAAATCTAAATAAACAAATTATACCATACAGTTAAATATACAACTGATATTCACTGAATTAGAAAGTCCTCTGTATAACCTTTTGACCATCAGAACTACCAGTATCTTCTGCTTTGAATGGGGCAAGTTGAACACATCGCATTAGTTTGGTCTCAATTGAGGTACACAAATGACAAATCAACCTGTCCACCTGTAACACAAAGCTCAAGGTAAGACAAAACGTTACTCAAACATACAAGTTTTTAAAGAACAATGAAGGTTAATGGCACAACTTAAAAAGACCAGAGAACATAAATCAAATCCCATAGCAACAAGAGACTTGTGATAGAATCAGACAAGAAGACAGAATCTTTGATTGAAGATCAAAGATGAAGAGTAATGGCCAGAGATTGAAAGTAATCTCCCCCAAGGAAGAATTTTTAGTCTTCACCAATGTCCTACAAGGTAGAAGAGAAGGTACAACAAACAGTTGTCTCCAAAGACATACATGTAAATACACACTTCATAAACATTATAAAGCTTCTATAGGGAGTGTGTTTGAAATGCAATACAGAACATAATTAACACATAAATGTCAATCACTGTGTATCATAAATAATTAATTATAAATGATTATCAACTCAGAATCTATACACTATGAATTTTCACCAAAACTTCATATACTTTTTCACTTACTTCTAAATAGTTCTTGATGTGATCTCTATGCTTGGTTACAAGTCTGTTGATCCCCAAAAATTTTGAGATATGCTTTAAATCCACAACTCAATACTTTGTGGTGGTGAAACATCAAGTGCATTACAATAATGAAACATTGCAACAAATACTGGAATTAGTACCAAGGGCACTTGTTAACTTTGACATCCAAATGGGAACTGACAGACACTGACATTTATGAATCTTTCCTAGATCTCATCAAAGCAGGTCTATCACATTGCTTAATCCAAATATTTAAATTTTAATATGTTTGAGCAATAAGCAAGATAACGTATTGATGTATTTCATGCATATACACTTCACTTTATCTACTGTTACTTGATGTTAGTAATAATGACATACTTTTTTAACACTTTCCATGTGTTTACCAATATACTTGTATCCAAATCACCAATAAGAATGCAAACTTCAAGGAGCTGATGGCACACTGGGTCATAAAAGAAAAACCAGCAGATGACATAAGTACAGTTTGAGCAACACTCCATGACAATTAATCATAGCTATACCATAATATAACCAAAATCATTGTAGTGTCAGTTTTAGTAAGTAACTCTGAGGTTTCATCAGCCACAAATGACCAATTCCTGATAGCAATTAAGAAGGAAAAAAAATAAAATTCTCTTGCTGACAAGTGTTTTTCCATAATATTCTCCTTCTGAATGATCTTAATAATAGTACCGTCTATTTATTAAGTAATTCAAATTATCCCCTGCTCACCTTCTGTAATATCTCTAACATCCTCATCAGATGCATCATAATTTAACTGGACTTTGTCAAGTATCTCCATCAATCCCTTTGGTAAATAAAAATGTTGGATGTTATTTTCACAACTTTTTTTTTTTAACTGATAAAAAAACCCAGTCTCCAATGGTTTAATTAAATTATATGAGCCCAGGTGAAGCATTCAAACCACAGGTAGTAACCAAACCAGCACCATACACTGTATACTCTGATGTGTTTTGTCTCAACCAATATGCTGGAAAATTTCTAGATTTCATTAAATCTTTCCTTTGATAGATTTCCATTTGTTACACCCCCTTCTTCTCTTTTTATTTTTTAAATGGGTTGGCCAAGGGCATAAGCATCTAAAAACAAACAATAGCCCTTTATAAGCATATAGCTGACCTATTTACCTTCTGTAGCTGGTAAGATCTCTTAAACAACATGGCTAGATCCTGAGACACAACATGGAAGAAATCACCATACACTTTTTCACTATCCTGCAAGGAAAATCACAAATTCGTAGAGCAATTATGATTTGATTATACTTCCCACATATAAATAAACCCCTCACAATTTAATGTTGTAATATCCGAATTTGTTTGAATAAAAAGTGTCAATTAGAATGTACCTTGCAGTGTTTAAAAGTAGCATTCACTATCTGCAGTACAGCTGATGGAAGGGAATGAATGTGTTCAATAAAGAGTTCCTCTGTAAGGGAAAGTTGAGTCACATTCCCAATACAAGTCTCCAGACACTCCATAAATGCCATAACCAACTGTAAAATGAAGAGAGAAAAATTTAGGAGAACAAAGTACAATATTAAGTGAGTACTTGACATTGCATTTGTCTGCTAGGTCTTAATTCATATTCGATTTCCTATTCCACACTTTCCTAGTTCATTTATTTTTGTATACGACAGAATCACACCCTTTTTAATTATACTCTCCCATTCCCAAAATACCAGATACATAATATCAAAACTGCATGGCTTCTCTCTCCACATTCAACACATTAATTTTAACTCAGGTTTTTTATCCTTGCAATAATAGATCAGATTTCCTTTTCCACAAGAGACTTGAAAAATCATGATTTGTGCATATCTAGCAACTGGTTACAATATTGTTATGACAGTGTGACTGTAATCAGAGCATGAACACAAACCTGTAGAAGTGACTGGACTGTTTGTAATCTGTCATGGCTTCTTTCTTGATCAACAGCCTGTGCTTGTAGTGGCTTTATAATCTGCTCTATTTCCAAAATGGCTTCATAAACAGCATCATATACCTAATAGACAGTCAACCAGGGTACAAATAGTTACTAGTTTCAAACAAGTGGAAGGTCAAAAATTTCAGCCAGTTTGAGAAATATATTTTCTGTATTGGAGAATGCTGTAATACATGTCCAAATGAGAAAAATACAAATCAAACTTGTACAAAAACATTTTATGTTTTTTTACATTTTTCCTACGAGTTACCAAGATGGAACTTGTCCAAATTACAATATCAATACAATATCTGTAACAATATCGCGTGACACTGTCACGACCTCGTGGTCCGCTGACGACATCTGTTTTATTATATTAAATATAATAAAACAGATGTCGTCAGCGGACCACGAGGTCGTGACAGTGTCACGCAATATTGTTACAATATCAAGCAGACAATTAATGAGAGTAGGAAAAGATATCAATTAGGGGATTATTAGTTGATCCACTATAAGTAACATCTCACAAATTGTATGGTGGACATTAAGGGCAATTACTGACGATATTTTGGGAGTAAAAATGTTAAAATACGATCATTAGACATTTCAAGAAGCCAATGAAGTTTAACAAAGTGTAACTGCTTCTTGTAATTTAGTTATCTATAAATGTGTTTATATTCATAGCAACTGATGGCTACAAGATGAAATAACAGTATACTATGTACCATGTACAATTGGATGGTGTGTTTTCCTTAACAAAGAAGTCCTTTTTTGAATTTAAAAATTGCTTTTTCAGCTATGTATTGAGGGCCCTAAGCCGACATAAACGTTTTTAACAAAAAAGTGGCTTACCTTTGGCAAGATTCTTGAGAAAAATTGGGCTTCTACTTTGACTAAGGACAAACCGGGGAGAGCTTGACTTGTGAGGTTTTTCAAATAACCTAACAAAACAAAAAGACTTTTATTTTGTCTAGATACATGAAATACTAATGGTTATAATAATAGTAATCACCAGCACCACACCATCATCATTATCATAATGGTTATTCTTGTTTGAATCAGCACGCCTAGCTTTAACCCTTTAACTCCCATGAGTGACCAAGACAGAATTCGTCCTTACAATATCAATACAATATCAAGCTGAAGAGTAATGAGAATAAAGACAAATATTATTAGGGGATTATTACTTGATCCAATACCAAATTCTCCAAATTAACATCACAAGAACTGTAAGGAAGACAGTAGGAAAATTGCTGATGAGATCTTGGGAGTTATAGGGGTTAACTGTGGCAGTTGGTAGTTTGGTTCAAGGTAACATGTTGACTAGAACAAAACTATCCTTTATAAAACAATACCTAGCTTTTCAGTTCTATCTGGAGTCTCACCAAAGGATTTCTAATACAATTGGGTAACTGTTAAGGAACAATTTTCATTATGCTGATATCATTCAGTTTTACAAAAGATACTACTGTAAGGTAATTAAGCCACAATAGCGATGGGATACTCTCTTATCTAGGTATGATATATTTGGCAGTTCAGTGCAGGTTTAATTCAGGACTTATAATTGAAAGATTGTTGCTTTAATAAAAATTAGCATAATTCTCCAAGGTGATTGGTTATCACCAGCCCAATTTTAACACTAAATAAGACAGTGCATGCCCCATGCATATAATTGGATGGTGCTATTCAACAGTATATGCATCATGCCTGTGTAATCGGACAGTGCACAGCATATGTGCTTGCTGTCTCACCTTCTGCCAAGTTAACTGTTATTTTCTTTAATTAAAACACATAACAGATAGCCAGTTTGTTCCTAAAATTTCTTCCTAGTTTTGATTCAATGGTAACAGGACTTACACCTGTAATGTTGTGCGAGTCTCAGTCTATAATTACACAAGTTGGTAATTGACAAATCGGATTACTGCTTTGTCTATCACTCATAGGGTTATTGATCGAATTGGACTGTATAAAATATAAAATGAATATGTATCCCTTGTAAAGTGGAAACCACTTTGTACTGTACACATGTATGTACATGTACTACTTCAAATTAGGTTAAATTTCTATGGTGACTGATTTGCATGGAGACAATAACGGAAAATCTCAAAATGCCCACAGAGCAATTAATGAGTCATACTGAAGTGTTCCAACAGTGGTAAAAGAAGTGGTCGGTACAGATAGCCTTAAAATTCCACGCACCCATTGCTTCAAGTTAAATTAGTCATTCACAGGAACATTAGTTTTCTATTTTTGAGCAACAGTGGAAATTTTTCCCGTAGGTTTATCATGCAACGTTATTTTCAATCTCGTACGCTTTCAGGCTCTAAAGCGAGTATTTGTGTAGAGAACACTTCCAAGTTGTCTGATAATTCTAATACTAAACAATACACGCTGGCTGAGTTAAAAAGGATACGATAATAGAATTGAGCTGACTTGCGTCTGACTGGCTCTGCGAACCCATGCCGAAAATTCGGCATTTCACGATCAAGTCTTTCTCCAGAAATTCATGTTTGCCTCCACAACGATAGCATTGAACGCGCGCCCTCTTAACGCTGGTGACTAGTTAGAGAGGAACGCCTGCGCAGACAATTTTTGGCGGGAAATCAACCAGTCAACATTCCACGCGATCGTGACCATCTGCAGACAGCTTTCAATCACAAAAGAATCTAGGTCAATTTGCTGATTTCTTCTATTTTGTCCAACGAAAAGGGAAAATGGTGCATGAGACTGAACCTGAATTTCCTATGGAAATTTCTGAACGGTAAGAATCAGCGATCAAAATAAAATATTGGCCAAGATTCGATACATTTCAGCAGATACTAAGCGATCGCTGACCAATGCATATTGCAAAATCTGCCTCTGAATTTCTGTCAATTGGATTCAAAGGCTTTCGGATCGATCGAGATTGTATTCTGTTGTATATATTTTCAGGTTGATAGAGCTCGCGGAGGAATATAAGGATGGCGTTTTCACCGAGAAGGTAAAGTCGACCTTCGGAAATGTGATCTCCAATAATTAATCAATGGTAAACGCAGCGATCAAACGTAGAGCATTTGCAAGAGGATCAATTTTGGCAGACCTGAGAAAACCTCTCGGTAGAAATTTTGTAAAATTTCTGTCCGCCGGCCAGCTTTAATATGTAGAAATTGTTTCCTACACAGGGCTATGTGATGAAAAAGCTTAAGCTTTTAAAACCGTTGTTGGCCAACTCGGTACAAGAAAAGTAAGCTGTAGAATGATATATATTTTTAAATTATTTTGTCTGCTTTTGTGCTGTTTGTGGTTGTTTTGTTTTGTTTTTTTGTTTTGTTTAATTTTTTTTTTTTTGGTGATTTTAATCACGATTTACTAAAATAGCCTTACACCACCTGATAAAAAAGCAGACTTTAATTGTCGGTGTAGTTGTTGTTAAGGGAAGGGGTGGTCGTGGAAATTATTTTTGTTGAAATTACACCCATAATCCTTCCACAGGATTTATTTTGAAAACCACCGTGTTATCTCTATCGTAGGATTCAGAAAGCTCAAGACGATTACAAAGAAGGAAAGGCAACCGAAGTAAGTTCCTGATTCAGTTGATAATTGCTTTTCCACATTATCCCATTGTAATATGCTGATTGCAAGTGCTAAGCTGGAAAATTATTTTGTAAAGGCGATGCATGCTCAAAGCATTTACATTTCAGATCTTATTTTCATTTTTGTTCACCGCTACAGGAGCAGCTCATAGACCAGCTGAAAGAGCTCCTCTCTAAGATTGGTCACAGAGCTAGCAATGGATGTGGTGCAGTTCCATTATCTCCTGCATCATGTAGTGATGGTCAACACAGCTTAATGTCATCTGTGAAAGAAGAACCAATGGAGACAGAAGATGCAGCCTCCAGAAATAGTCTATCAAACGGAACAAGTAGTAATGACAACACTGATTCTGGTGCCTCAGGAACAAACTCTAATGAGATTATGCAGACTGATGACTCAGATGATAAACCACTTATTGACTCAACTGCAGGGGCATCAAATGGCAATTCAAAGGAAGGCCACATTGAAAATGAAGCTCAGACAGCCTCATTATCCACCAGCAAAGGAGGTAGGTATAATCTAATGAATGTGATAGAGGTTGTGGTTAACCATCTTGACGATATATAACAATAATAAAATATTAATTTATTCTTATGTGGATCACTTGTGTCAACCATGTGTTGGTAGTCTCCTTTTGAGGTTCAGATCTACTGTTTACTTGTCATGTACTGAACATTATAATCACTATCACTCTCTGAGGATCATCCTCTAGAAGGTGACCTCAAAAACTGCCTATCATAATGCTTCGTAAGGTGTTGTACAAACAGTTGACATCATCACCTCATCACTGAGAATAATTGAATCAATCAAATTTCTTAATGGCAACATCATACTTTCCCTATCTTGTTTGTGTTACTTAACAGGCAGGCTTTTTATTTCTAATTTTCAGGGTCATCTTTGCTGTTAGAGAAAACCTCTCCTGACTCTGAGGACAAGGTACCTGCAAGATTTTTTGTGAAGTGGAAATGTAAATAACTAAAAAATGCCACCATGACTGTTAAATGTGACTTTAAAGAACATTAAAAACTATATCAAGGCTGTTTGTCTGACTGGAAAAATTCTTTTGCAGATAAAAACCAAACTGAGAAAAGAGACTGGCAGGCAACTGGGTATTAGAGAGATGTTTGCTAAAGGGTAAGATACAAGTATATATGATAAGAGTCAAGTTAGAATGAATAATATTTAAAGGATTTATTTAAATAATTGTACTTGACCTTATATAGCAGATATGTTGTGGTCAGGGTTAATGAACCTGACTTTCCTCAAGTGTATCCATGTCAAGAAAGAGATTTGAATCAGTAATCTGTTGACAGAAACCTTTTGAATCCTAAAATGATTTGCAGTAAATGTAGGACTTAAATGTTTTTTCTGTGACAAGAAACAAAGGGTTATGGCTGCTTAACACAATTGGGCCTCTGGTCACTTAAGTATTACAATCTCCTTGGATGGGAGTTGAGACCATTTTAAGATAATTTTCAATAATTAAGCTGGATTCTGCATTGTTAACTCTCAGACAGAGAATTACTAGCACTATTTGTGCAAAGTGTGATGTCTCAAAAACCCAACCACAGTGAAATTATAGCCTTCAATTGTAATCAGACCAATTAATAGCAGGGGTCATTACATTTCAGTGTTCTGCCACTTCATTTCTCACATTATGTCTGCTCTTCCCTACCAACATGTTTAGTAGAACTTTTGTTCCTTCCATTATGCACAAAACATATATAACAACCTTGTCTAATAAGTAGTGGATTGTATTTAAAATTATTGTTATTATTATTATTATTATTATTATTATTATTCAGTAAATGAATGTTAATTTTTAGGCCTGTTAAAAGAAAGAATACAGCAGATGACAGTGAAGATGCTGGTGAGACCAGTGAAGATTCACTAAACAGCATCATTAGCAAAGTATGTAGTCACCTTTTATTGTTTATTTTTTTTGATAAAAACATCAACATCAATGTTAATCAATATGTTCATTGGGCAGGATAACAAACGTCTTAAAGTGACAGAGGATGAAAACACTGATAAAAAAGAAAAAGAATTGTCAGAAACAGAAACAGGAACAGAAAGGCAAGAGTCAACAACTTTACAATAACTCATTTGAGTTTTAAAGCTGGAATATTATACTATTCTCAATCTTGTTTGGTTAACCCTCAGGGTTTGTTTTAATCATAGAAAAGAATTGCCAAATTAGATAAAAAATAAAATTTTCATAACTAATTTTCATAACATAACTTTTATATATATATATATATATATATATATATAGATATAGATATATAAAATAATTGTCCATAGTCATTCCTATCAAATTAGAATACTCTAATTATTGTTTTTGCAAGTCATAGAACATGTAGTTATTGGTTTAACACCGCCCAAATTTTGACATGATAATGTTGTAAATATATTTTTTCTTTCTGTTGCATTTGTTAATTCTTTTTTGTTCAACAGCTATCAGCTAAGAGAATCCTCTGCAGGAGCAAAATGTGAAGGGGAAAAAACACAGGTGCTAAAAAGTTTTTAATTCTTCTTGTCGTACTGAAGATCTATATGTTAGTTCTGTAGAAATAAATATATTTCTCAGGATTTGAGAAAAATAGTAAAATCTGGTAATATACAGCTATAGAAGGTGGAAATATTTTCTTGGTTTACATGTAGGTCAAGTATTTGCAGGAAAGTCATTGGTTTGAACCCCATTCAAGCCACAATATTGTAATGCTTTATTTCATGACTACTTACTGTAGTCATTGCTCCAAGTGAAATGATCTTTCTTCAAATGGCATCTATCTTTCTCTTTTAAATAATAATATGTTTGAACATTCTGTAGACTCCTGTCAAGTGTAAGGAATGCAAGCAACTTCTGGACAGTCCTGACTTAAGACTTTTCCTTGGTGACTGTGATGATGCTGTAAGTTTATGATACATGTTGCTCTCCACTAAGCAGTTTTTGAAGTTCCTTGAAGTTGTGCAAATGTTTGTTATGGTTCAAATTTTTACTAGTGGAAAATGTAAAGGACATGATTCTTTCTCTGTACCTAGTGACAGTTCTCTTGTAGTTAGCTATACAATGACTGGTATCTGACAAACATGTTTACCAAATATTATCTCCTGACAACCATTTCAATATGACTAAAATTGAATGTTCTAGCTTTTGGCCTGTCTTAAGGGTTGTTGTCTTATGAAATGTCACAGTCAGTATGTTTGTTCTAACATGTTAACTGATATTATTATACATAAGACTTACTATGAAATTTCTGATTGGTTGAGACCATCCAGTCAGTATACAAGAGCATGTGAAGTAGACATGATAAATCAATATCTGCTGTTGATATTAGGTTATTATGTTGTGTTCAAAGTCTTACTAGTTTCCAAGCCCCTTGTCTATGAAGTGTTCTAAACTTTTGCAAACTCAGAGAATTGTTTTTATTTTGCAGATTGTTTAGAAAATGTATAATAAAACAATTACTGAATTTTGGTTTTCCCATAAAATCATGATACGTCAAACTTTGTGTTTGTGTTTGTGTTTGTTGTCTGCCCGAGCCTTCTGCTTCTGCAGGTAACTTAAGGCATTGATAATTCATGATAATTCATGATATCATGCTCAACCTCATCCAGTAATTGCTTATTGTCTACCAGGTGGAAGAATTTGTTGCCTTAACTGATCCACGTTTGTCTCTGTTCTCTGGTGAAGAGGAACAATTTGACAGCTATAACGATAGACCACAACACAAAATAACAAATTTCAGGTAAGGAATTTTTGCATCTTTACAATTGTCACATTCATTAATCAAATGAAATAAAAGTTAAGATGATGAGAGCTCTTCATATTTCTTTGCACCATTCTATCATGCCTCACCTCTTCTATTCTTTTCCCACCTCTTCTGATCTGTTTCATTTTAAGTTGCATCGTACCAGTCCATCAAGTTGCCACAGTTGTCCTTAAGTTCTTCTTACTCTTTAATATTATTATGCATTTATTTATAGCATTTATGACAAGAACACTCACCTGTGCCCTTTTGACTCTGGCTTGATAGAGAAAAATATAGAACTATTCTTCAGTGGATACCTTAAACCAATCTATGATGAAAATCCAAGTCCAGAAGGTACATTGTATTTCAAAAACAGTTTAGAAACATTGGATTAAAATAATTGGAAAAGATAGGGAATCCTTTACAACCTTGAACTAATCACTGAAAAAGCAATTATTTGTACATATTCTTGCTAAAATGTGCCTTATATATAGGTGGAGTTCCAACAAAAGCTTTAGGGCCGATCAATGAATGGTGGACAACAGGATTTGATGGAGGGGAGAATGCTCTCATTGGTTTTACTACAGGTAAAGATTAATCCCTTGATTTACAGTGACTGTAACTCTAATCTTTCTTTAGACTAGTGTATTATTTATTACCTGCTATCCACTGAAATCCATAAGATTGAGTTTGTATACCTTTAGCCTTTGCAGAGTACATATTGATGCAGGCATCTGAGGAATATATGCCCTTTATGAACCTCATGAGAGAGAAGATTGCTATGAGTAAGGTAATGTTTATTTAAAATTTTATCTTTCTAGTTCGGCAAGAATCACAAACTAAAAGATCAGAGCACACAACTGTTATAGGTGGTAAAAGGAAACTAATTATTAGCTAGAATCTGAAGCATATAGCCCGGATTCTAAGGCCAATAGTGCTCTCATAGGATATGGATGGGGAGTTGTAAATCCACAAAAACTACCTGAAATGAATGTGCTAAATAAGTTATTACATGAAAGTAAGGACTTCTTTTCTCTGTTACAGATTGTCATTGAATTTATACAAGATAATCCAGAGGCAAGGTACGAGGACTTGCTGAATAAAGTACAGGTAATGACATGATGTTGATGTTTGTTGTTACTGACCATAATTATAATGAAGATGAAGTGATAAGAAGCAGCAAGATGAATATTGTCATAATAAATGAACAGATTTAAACTTAATGCATTGTATTTGGTAGCTAATTTCACAAAATTTCAAGTTCTTGGGCTGATTGTGCAACTAGTGCAGTGTACAACTAGGAAGAGCTATCTATCTGATCTATCAAGGAGGACAACTTTAATCCCTTAACCCTCAAGAGTGACTTGCTTCTGATTTCCTCATACAGTATCACCCCTGAATCAAACATTAAGGTCATGAGAATAATGGAAATGATCAACAAGTACAGGAGCTCTTGATTGTTGAGCAAAATCTCCTTGTCAGCACCTTAGGAAATGTGTAGAAAACAGTGTAAAGAATATACATACTGATCTCAGGGTGTAAAAAGTTAAGCAGGTCCATTAGAAGAAACAGGCCTCTGCACAAAAAAGGATCTGTCATGTATAAATGTGCCTGCTGACTCCTTTCTTGTTCACTGAAACTGCATACATCAAATATAAATAAAAAGTTGATTGTTACAAATAGGACTGAGATGTGTACTTGCGGCCGCCAATCCTAGTAGTGTGGGTTTCCGTGTAAATCTACAGTTTAGAGCTGCAAATAAATTTAATATGCAATTCCCTGTACAATGTTGTATGACATAAGACAGAAAACCAATCATAGGATGAGTGATCTATGTTAACCCCTCTTTGCTATGTTATTGTTTCCAAGACTTCTGTGCCTCCAGAAAACTGTTCCACTTTTACTGAAGATACACTGTTGAGACATGCCCAGTTCCTTGTTGAACAGGTAAGAGCTTTTCATTTAACTCATATCAATTCCTATTTGTCTTACCATATTTTTGTATTACAATCTGTCTGAAGGTGTATGATACAATAAATTACTGTAATGTCTTTCCTCTGAAGATCACTGGTATTCTTTAGGAGGATGATGCTAAAAATTGTGGCAGTTTTGAAATTTTGTTCTTTAGATTCATCTTGAATACCTGTAAGGTATCTGTTAATAGGAACCTTTCAGTTTGCAATTGTCATCTTTCATTCTTGGCTTTATGATGTCTTTAGGTGGAAAGTTATGACCAAGCAGCTGATGATGATGAGCTCCCACTGTTGGTGACACCATGCATGAGGGCTCTCATCAAGCTGGCAGGAGTTACACTTGGAAAAAGGTTTGTTATCAGACTGACATTATCTTTTTAATGAAAAGGAGAATTTCATCAAATTTTATGGTACTATGAGTTAAATGACATAAATTTGCAAATTATGCATCTGTTGTGATGCTTTTCTAAGATAAATGTTTAATATCCTAGTAGAATAAATAGTTGTTGTCTCAGATGTTGTACAAGGATAAAGACCTGTTTACCTCAAGTAACTGTTTAAACTCCTTGTTTATTCAAGATATTTATCTGGTAGATGAATCAATTGTTTCTATTAAAGCACTACATTTTCTTGATAAGAAACTACCTCATTATTGTTCTTCAGATGTTTTATAGTTGTCAACTTTTTTTGTTCAGACGTGCTGCAAGGGGAGTGAAAGTCCGACTAGACAAGAAGAAGAAAGATACAGGTCCTTCAAAAGTTAGTACTTACAGTAGACTAACAAATACAAAACAAGTTATCACTTTTGTGCTACATGCTTTTGTATTTCAATATTAAAAAGATGAACCTTGGATCATTATTAACCGAAGGTGTCACTGTATAGTTGGCAGACCTCTGACCTTCTTGCACTATAAAAAAAAGAACATTACAGCAGTTTTGTGTCTTGTAAGTTTTTTGTATAAAGATTTATTAATGGCCTCCCAATAATTTGAAACTGAATTTATTGTAGGCCACCACTACACCCCTGGTGCGGAACATATTTGACATTTTCTTCCAAGATCAAATCGATGGTAAAGAAACAAGAACATCTCGTAGGAAGCGATGTGGTGTTTGTGAGGTGTGCCAGCAGCCAGACTGTGGAAAGTGTAAATCCTGCAGGGACATGGTCAAGTTTGGTGGAACTGGCAGAAAGAAACAGTGCTGTGAAGAAAGAAGGTTTTTGTTCTTCTTTTTGTCTTCTATAATGCATTCATTTCCATGACCCTGAATTTGCTGCATACTGGCTTTTAAAAAATGATTTATTTCATTCTCTTTTCCTCAAGACCTAATTAAGTTTGTCGTTAAATGTAGGTGCCCTAACTTGGCTGTTGAAGAAGCTGAGGATGATGAAGATGTCACAGAGGAGAGTGAAGAAAATGTGAAAATGGTAAGTAAAACTGTACTTAAATTTCAAGGGTAAAAGGAAGACATTTTAATAGCTGATGTTCATGAGGTAATGTTATTTATTTTGTGTATATTTTTTTTTCTGTTCCAGAGTCCTAACAAGGATATGGTGAAGAAGAAAAAAACAACACATAAAACTGCAAAATCAAAGAAAGGGATTAATGAGGTGAGTTTACTTTTTTAAAGGCTATGTGCAGCTCTTGCTTAACTGTAAGTAACTGTTTGTCTTCAATGTTAATAGCAACAGTACAAAGAAAATTCATGACAGTGCCACTTAAACAATGTCAGTTTTGAAAATGGCTGATGTATAAGAAGGGTTAAAAGGATAGGCAGCAAACAGCATTTATAATGATAGGAAAGAGATGTTTCTTACTCCTTTATATCTAAAAACTTTGTTTTTTCATTAGAGATTATACAAAGAGCACAAATTGTATCATGTTGAGTGATCACTTGATTTTTCCACAGCTGCCTTTCATTCATTAAAATGTGTAATCAGTTGTCAAGGGTTCCTAAAGAAGAATGATTCTAAAAACCTTTTTTTGTCCATTATTAGACCAAAGTTGAATGGATAGGAGATCCTGCTAAAGTCAATGGAAAGAAGAAATACTACTCATCAGTTCTTATCAACAGCCAAGAGGTTTGTATTCTCACTTTTCTGTGGAATCTTGGCTCAGCTGTCAACACAAGCCAATACCTTCTTTTGACCTATGGCAGGTACAAGTGGGAGATTTTGTGAAGGTACGCCCTGAGGATCCTCACATGCCACTTTTTATTTCCTGTGTGTGCTACATGTGGGAGGCGGCAAATGGTGACAAGATGTTTCACTGCAGATGGTTCAGGTACAAACCAAATGCTCTGTGCCTATTGCAATGTTACAACAGGCATTACATGTTTCTTTCAATTGATTGTAAGGCTTCGATGTCTACCAGCACATATTGTAGATCATTTATAGTGAGCTTTTCTATTTTCTATGCAGAAGAGCAATGAATTTGTTAAAATAACAACATGGCTGCAGCAAAGGCAGCTGTGTAGTTTCTTTGCTACCCCACTCTGAACATTTCAAACTCACATGTCAAGTAACAAACATTCTGCATATTTTCTCTCAATACCATATCGTTGGTTCTAGCCGTGGCTCAGAAACTATTTTGGGTGAAACAAGTGATTCTAAGGAGCTTTTTCTTGTGGATGAATGCGATGACAACCCTCTTGGTTCCATTGTACAGAAATGTGTTGTAAGTTTATCTGAATATATCCTCTGGTTGTTTTTAGTCCTTTTCAATACATTTTGTGCATAAAAGAAATACACTGATTTTGCTTGTGGCATTCTTGGCAAACATGCAACTCTATCCTTGCCCTCATTCCAGCATTATGAGGTAGTCGTTTGCACTGAGACTCCATGCTCGGATCACATCAACAATTAAACATTTATTGAGGTTTCAACAGAAAGGAGCAATAGAATATTGAATTGAGTGGATGAAACTGATTTCGGATATTTCTGCGTCGCTTTACAACAAACCTTGAACAACATTTTGCTCAATTAACCAGAGCGAATTTTCTCTAGAAATTTCGCACCGAACTTTCTAGAAGAGCGAACTTTCCCTCAAAAGTTCACAACTCTTTAGTGTCCGCGGTGAAATATCTTTCGAAATTTTGGTGCACTGAAACAATAGGTGACTCAAAAGTTCGTGGAAAATTCGCGGAAATTTCTTTCAGGGTGAAATTTCCTCGAAAAGCCACGAAAAGCGAGGAAATTTGTCGAAATTCGTTTGCGTTACTTTTGCACAGTACGGTATATATCGGTAAACCCAGGTTTCAAAGTCTGTGATTTTGTGAATAACACAGGCTTATAATATGTGTGTCATATATGTATGCCATTTAAGTTTTCCATAGGCTACAGATTAATATATGTGATATGAATGAACAGGTGACGCAGAAGTTGCCAGAAGCTGATTGGTTCCAGAGGGGCGGACTTGAAGAGCGGGAAGCTGACAGCATGATGGAAGAGGACGATGGGAACACATTTTTCTATCAGAAATGGTAAGGAAAAGTTCTTGAAAAGTAGAGGTTTTGAAGTTGTGAAGACAGTCAGCGTCCTTTAGTGTGGGGTCCGTGTCACTCCATTTCTATTTTTAACCAAACTTCCCCTCTCGATATAGAAAGCTTGCACAGAGTCTTGGGTAAGTTGCAAAAGCTGCCCAAGTGCAGGGTGAGATCTTCGCAAGGTTGCTGAAATTTTACAGAAACTGGTTTATTGGGAACATTCACTTAATGTAACTGAAGAATTTTCAATTTTAGGAGGATGAACCCTGGACGGTTCCTAGCAGTGGAGAGCTAAATTTCTCATGCACTGTTCAGTGTACCAGTCCGAAGAAGTCTTGAAATTAAACTCAAAAATGTAATAAATCAAATTTTGTGTCCATGATATAACTCGGGTCTGCTAGTTCTTCCATCCTTTAAGCTAAAACAAGTTGTATGTAATGATCAACTTAATTGTACAGTCACAAAGCACTGATGTCTTTAATTCTAAATGCACATATGTCACAGAAAGAGATATCGCTTTCTCAACGTTTCAGGTATGATTCTGAACATGGTCGATTCACAGATCCCCCCTCGGAATACACTGCTGCTTTAGATAGGAAAGAAAATCATAAATTTTGTGAGAGCTGTAAGCGACAGACAGCACAAAAGCAGGTAGAATTGCATAAGTTAATATTTATTTCCTAAATTTATTTTTTTATCCTGTTTATAAATATTTTTAGATGTATATACTTTTTTTTACATTTTGAGTATAAGGTCTATATGGTATTCAACATACAACTTAAGTGTATTAACATTTGAATAAAGTTCATTGTTTTTGTTATTATTATTATTATTATTAATGACTTAACGAAAGGTGTTTGTGCGTCAAAGCTACACCATAGAGTTCATCTATCTTCGCAGTTCTTTGTTCCTTTGGTTTAGTTTTCCACGTATGACATAATTAACTTATCATACATGTTCTAGCTAGAAACACCAACAGTGGAGGAACCACTGGAAAAAGAATCAAAATCTTCCTCTAAAACGTATTACAAGTATGTCTATTTTCTTACTTTTCTCGTTTTAATCAGAGTTTGTGCATTTTTTTTAGCCTTGAACGCCAAAGATATTCAGGCAAGGTCATTTGCACGTCTTCCGCAGAGGAGACTCGTCTCTTCCAGTTTTTTTTTTTTTTTTTTGGCTCTTTAATTTATTTGTTCAACTATTCTTCCTAATCCATCATTTTCAGCTTGTTTAGCTTCAATATACCCTCTTAATTCATGAAAGTTTTGAAGGAAATGTGTCTTCACGGTCTTTAGTCCCCTTATCTACTCCAGGAAAAAAAGTGTCGTATCATGGTAATGATTATTTGTTTGTGTATGCTGTATTTGCACCCCAGAAAAAATTTCGTGAATTTTCTTCTTTTTAGATCGTGCAACATAAACGGCGTGCAGTACAAGCTAGGAGATTGTGTTTTCCTCACGCCTGAAGCATTTTCATTCAAGTAAGAGATTTATTTGTATGCTACTTACTTCCTGAACTCCAATACCTTTGATCAGCCATAATTGACCGAGGAGTGCTGTGATGCATTGATAGAGAATGCTGTTACGAGGCTGCTATGTTAACTTGCTGTGTTAAACTGAGTCCTATGACCTTGAGTTGCTAATAATGAAATCATAGGGCTCAACAAGATGGAATGTAAAGCAAACTTATGGAGCCGGAACCGAGCGCGAAAAGATTTGAGAACAAAGATTGGCAGGGTTCAAACGTCACTGAAAAAATCACAATCAAATTTTGCTCTTTTTTCGCAGTGTCAAGCCGAAAGAGACGAAGAAAGGCTTCAAGAAGAACGAAAAGGTATTCACTTTGTGGTTTGTTGGTTTGTTTCTCGTTTTTCTGTTACTACGCACCCTAGACCCTCTGTTTCATCTCAAAGGGTGACAGCCAATCCCAAAAATATTCCCCCAGGGAAAAAAGGGTTATGCTCTATACCAGTTGACCTAAAAAAGGGAATTCATGACGATGGTTTACAAGTTATTTGAGTTTCATTAGCTAGCAATTCACATAAATACCAATTACAATTATTTTTAATCGTATAAACTCTTTAGGTGGACGAAGAGGTTTATCCTGAATATTACAGGAAACCCAATGAGTATGTGAAAGGAAGTAACTATGATGTACCACAACCATTTGAAATAGGTACGTTGTCAGCGACAGATTACTAAAAGCGTAGATAAATTAGCTGTGAGAGACTTTCGTTTGTTTTGTTGGTGAAACGCATATATAAGTATTACAGGTCAGAGAGACCGAGTTTGCGGCATACCTAATCCTTAAAAAACTTTGCATTGAAATACAAAATCCTATCGCGTTTCGAGTTGGTGGTTTTTGTGAGATATTCTGACAGTTGGTCGGTCAGGTAGTCAGGCTGCAGTCAGTCAGCAGTCAATGTGCAGTCAGTCAGTTAGTCAGTCTGCAGTCGGTCAGTCTGCAGTCGATCCGTCAGTCGGTCAGTTGATCAGTCTGCAGTCGGTCCGTCAGTCAGTCAGCCAGTCAGTCTGCAGTCGGTCCGTCAGTCAGTTAGTCAATCAGTCAGTCAGTTGGTCGGTCTGCATTCAGTACGTCAGTCAGTCAGTTCGTCCGTCAGTCAATTGGCCAATAAGTCGGTCAGCCAGCCAGCCATTTATTCTATCATATTATCGGTAAGTTTGTTATTTTGCCTGATTTTGTTTTTTATTATTATTTTCTCAGGTCGCATTGTAAACATCTTTACAAAATCAAGTTCAGGGAAGTTAACAGAAGAACTTGATATTATGTTGACTGTTAATAAATTTTACAGGTAGGTGAAGGTACCATCAGACTTAAGGAGTGCCTATTCTCGTGCGCAGAAAATCTTGTGCGTTTAGGAGGAAAAATTACTCGGCAAGCCCGGCGATTTCATGACCTCTCTTATTCATAATTTATCTTCCACGTAACTGTGAATGAGAGCATTTAGGAAGGGGAACACTAAAGCTCAGACATTTATGAGACACCACTGGGGACCGGATGGTGAATGCAACTGCTTTAGGCGCGCTCCAACCTCTACCAGCCAATCAATTTGAAATCCTCATAGACCACTGAGCGAGCACAGAGTAAAAGGACTTCGCCTTCTTGCTACCGTCAAGATCTTAAAAACCCCAGTACCTAAGAAAGTTGAGCGTGAGAACGAAAACTTCCGCAAATCAACATAAAATCGGCACCTATTGCATAAACTGCGACAGGCTTTTATGCCAGGTTATATGTTTCCTTTCAGGCCAGAGAATACTCACAAGGGATCAAGTTTTGGCCACCAAGCAAATCTGAATTTATTATATTGGAGCAAAGAAGGTAAAGAGATCTTGGTTTTCAGCTCATTTATTGGAGTTAAAGGCAGAACGAGCGAACGAATACCATATTGTTTTTGCCCCAAATGGATAAGTGTTCTTTTCTGTGCACGGGAAAAACTCGTCGAGAGTGAAAAGATTTAGAACATTATTAAAAGTAGAAACAGTCATGTTTTGGCTCAGGCAAGCTTTCTTGATTTCGTTCCATTTTCTCTCTTGTTGTATTGTTTCAGAGGCAACTATTTCCATCGATGACGTCACAGGCGGGTGCGTGGTTACTTGTGGAGAGGATCTTAACTGTTCAGTTGAAGAATATACAGCCAAAGGAATTAACTATTTTTACTTCTTAGAGGTAATTATAATATTTCGTTAATCGCTTACTGCGTGTTTGTGTTTCTGTTGTCCCCGATATTGGCAATTCCATGGCCTTTTCTGACCTCATCATTATTGTTTAACCATTCGTGATTTTCATCTCCCTAACTAACGTAATGTAAAGAATATGATGGACTTTTTTAAAAAAGTACGTTTAACTTAATTTGCTCCCAAGAAAGCCTTTCATTAGTTCTCGTATCAAAAGCATAAGCATTTTGGGCAGTTTTAGTGCGCTTTTGTCCGCCACTCTCAATACTCTCAGTATATTTAAAACAAAAACGACCAGGTCACCCATGGTTCTCCGTGTTTGGCACCAGTCACCTATGAAGAATGGAAGGCATCTAATTGTCAGTTCCTTTTTGCGTGTCAATTAAAATCATATACTTGGAAAATTGCTATCTTATCGTTTCCTTCTGTCTCCTATTTGAAGACCCTCAGCTCAAAAGTTCTTTGAATAAAAAGTGCTTAACGACGGTTCGCATCTCGTTAGTGGATACAGACGGTCATATTTTTATATAAAAGAAATAAACGTTCACTTTCTCGTGATTGTATTATACGTCGATCAAGTCGAAGCTTCAACATAATTCCCCGAGGATTTAAACTTTTAAAGAGTGGTTCTTTCAAATTCTCGCCCCCCTGCGTCAAAATTGTTTTCAAATGCCTTAGCCAAGTGCCGGATTTGATGGTCAAATTTTTGTAAAAGGCAAGATTCGCGACCGTGACTTTTTCGTAGACCTTTTCTTCTGAGCTATCCGCTCGCAAAAGTGAACTTTTTACCTTCGAACACCTTCAAAACCTATATGAGCCTTCATGGCTTCTTGAGACTTCCTCGCCTTTTCCCTTTTCTATTTTATATTTTCCATGTATTATCTATGTAGAGTAGCTTTTTTTCCCTTTTATCATGTAATAAAGGCAAATGATTTTTTAAAAAAGTGTAAAAAAGATAAAACACGTCTATTTTACTAGGCGGGAGAGACTTCACAACTCTTACGGTTCAAATTTCCACCCCGCCCAGGTAAGGTTTAAATTCCCCATGGGGGGGGGCTGGGTACGGACGACAGGGGATGTTAAAGCTTCGAATTGATCGGTGCATTGCATTACTGAAAAATTGCAGGAAGTTTTCCCGTAGGATTTCTTTGTACTCACACTATGGTATTTCCCACAGGCGTATAACAGTGAAACAAAAGAGTTTGAAGAGCCTCCAATCGCGGCGCGTAATGCTGCAATGAAAGGAAAGGTTGGTATCATGGCCATAAAACACGGAAACCTGACAGTTTAGGTAAAATGTGAAAATTTCTTCTGCCTCGGTCATTTTATAAAATCAGACTTCTTTGTCGATAAAAGAAATTGGTTTGAAGCGACGAGATTATCGCAACTTCGTGACGTTGCCGTCGGCGCAGTTGTTGAAAATTCAATTGTGCACATAACAAGACTGAGTGAAACTCATTTCTACCCGCTTATCTTGTAAATTTATTTTCAGGGTAAAGGCAAGGGGAAAGGTAAAGGAAAAGGGAAGGCTTCTGCTGAAACAGATAATCAGAGCTCAAAGAAAGATTTTAATGGTACAGCGAATGAAACAGTCGCTAAACTGCGGTGTCTTGATGTTTTTGCCGGCTGCGGCGGTGAGTGAAAATTTTGCGAAAGAGTTACTGTCTGTAGGCGTATTGCCAAATGGTTTATTGTCGGCATCTGTATTTGTCCCAGGTCTGTCAGAGGGTCTTCATGAAGCAGGCGTGGCTGAGTCCTGTTGGGCCATTGAGAAGGAGGAGCCTGCAGCAAGCGCCTTCAGTTTGAACAATCCCGGATGTACTGTGTTCACTGATGACTGTAACTCTCTTTTGAAGCTTGTGATGGATGTAAGCCAAGTCATGCGACCATCTGTTTTACTGTCGTTTCGATACAAAGTCGTTTCGATGCAGGTCTATTAGATACATCGACAAAGTAGAAAAACGTTGAAAAGTCGTGTCGGTACGACTTCAGTTTGTATCGAAACGACTTTGTATGGAAACGACCGGACTCTAATCATCTATTGATCGCAATTGAACGTTCTGTCGTTGATGAGAGATGTACATATTTTCAATGAAGCACAAGTGCCACAGCTATTTGCTAGAGTTTCAATTTTATTGCCTTTGCATTCTCAGGGTGAAAAGAAGAATCCAAAAGGACAGACACTACCCCAGAAGGGAGATGTAGAGCTGTTGTGCGGCGGCCCCCCCTGCCAAGGATTCAGTGGAATGAACCGTTTCAGTTCAAGAGACTACTCCAAATTTAAGGTGAACAACAAATCTTATTCAAATACATACAGTCATCTAGTATCAACGAGAGTTCGCTGACCATTTACGCGCCGTCCGGAAAGTATCACTGTTGTCATGGTGCATGAGAGAAACAGAAAAAATTCTTATTGTATACATGTTACGTTACACTTGTTGGTCTGGTTGCTCTTTCAATCCCACGTTTAATTGTTTCTTTTTGTAGAATTCTCTGGTGGCATCTTACCTCAGTTACTGTGATTACTACCGGCCGAAGTTTTTCATTTTGGAAAATGTTCGCAACTTTGTGTCATTCAAGCGAAGCATGGTGCTGAAATTAACTCTACGATGCCTTCTTAAGATGGGATATCAGGTTAGTTGGTTACCAGGTTACCACGGATTTTTATAAATCTCCCCCTTGATTAATATTGTTGGTTTTATGCCCCGTCTGGTCATCGCACTGTTCGACTGGAAAAAAACTGTTTAGTTTACTCAGTTAATAAGTTTCTTCTTCCGGTGAAAAAGCAACTATTAGGTCATATTTTTCAATCCTGTTTATAATGAGACCTTTTCTCTGAATCCCTGTTTTTTCTGCATGTGACTGGTTACGCACATTTACCTGTTCCTTTGGCAATAGAGTGTATTTCATTTAAATTTTCCTTGACTCGCTCTACAATTTATCTTGGATGAAATTACAGAGAGTTTTCACTGAAATATACTCTAGGGTGTTCTACCATTTCCTTAGTGATTTTCACGCCATCCTCACAAGCCTAAACGCGCAAACAAAAATCGGATTAATATCAGTATCTGGGCAACTGCCCACCTACCCCTCCCCTAACCCAACATTAACCTTAAGTTGTTGTCAATTGACTGTTGTTGAGTTAGGGGAGGGGTAGGTGGGCAGTTGCCCAGATACTGATATTGATCCCGAAAATCGATGGCGACTTTCCCAAGCGAATTTTCCAGTTCAGTTCGCCTGATAACCCATTCACACCAGCTAAACATATTGAGTCAAACCGGGTTTAATGTCATCGAGACACAAAGAAATTAATCTTCTATGGAATACATTGATTCATTCACGCCGGTTATCGCTAACTTGTATTTTCAATGTCACGGTGCTACATTTAAAGTCGACAAGCATCGGTTTAGGCAGCTTCTATAAAGAAATATTGTAAACTGTGTTTAACGAAACATTTTTAAGCTTTGGTATGAATAGGACGTGAGTTTTATTTGGCTCGGTTGTGGTTACTTTGGCTCTGTTAAGGGGTGTTACCATGGTCAATTGACACCGTTACTTTCTTGTTTACTTTCTGTGCAGTGTACATTTGGTGTCCTACAGGCTGGTTGTTATGGCGTTCCACAGACTAGGCGGAGGTGAACTAAGACTTTTCATTTTTTATCAAAATCATTTTTCATTCTCTACGTTTGGGTTGTTTCTATTCTTGGTGAAATGTTACACCATAATTAAATGATGAAGAGATGTTCTCAATCAACACATCAATCCATTGGTGGAACGTTGTGAATGGTAATGTGTTAAACTTAAAAGTTGTTGTTGTTGATGATGAAGCTTGTACGTCTGTGTATTTGCTAGCGTGAATTAGAGGGTGTGTTTTAAACTTGCTTTTATGTCATATTTCAGGGCCATTATTATGGCAGCTGCTCCAGGTGAAGTGTTACCGCTGTACCCTGAGCCGACACACTGCTTTTCTCCTCGGGCCATTCAACTCACGGTCATGGTGGACGATAAGAAAGTAATTACATCTTGCATTGATTCATTTTTATGCGACAAAATACAGTGCACTGTGCCTCCCCTAACCTCTAGCGCCTTTGTCTCTTTCTTCCAGTTCCAATCGAACATTACTCGGCTATCGTCGGCTCCCTACCGAACAATCACTGTACGGGACGCCATGTCAGATCTTCCGGAGATAAGGAATGGCGCGTCTAATGATGAGATCTCTTACAATGGCGATTCGATTTCTCATTTTCAAAGACAAGTAAGAGTTTTGACACTTTCTCCTCTATGTTGTATACATTTCACACCTACGCTTTTTTAGTTGTATGGAATTTAATAAAAGAAAATTTTCAACAAGTGTGGAAAATTGAAACATGATTAATGCATGAAGATAGTGCAAGTTTTCAACCAGTCACAGAGCAACCTGAACAGCAAGTCCAGATCTTGATTTAAGGCAGTTTAATTTTTTTGAAATATATGAATTTCTCTCTTACTTTCTTAGTTTGTATTACCTAAAGAAAATAAAACTTATTATTCCAAGGCTTCTCAATGAGAATAATTTACATGGCAACGGAGGACTCTGTCCAAACGAAGGAAATCGTACAGAGATTTCCCTATGCATGATGAGGCATGCAATACTGTTACACCCACATTTGAGAATTGTGTGCAACATTCGTTTATTACTTCTCAGATGCGCGGCCGTCAAGACCAGCCAGTTCTTCGAGATCACATTTGTAAGGAAATGAATCCTCTAGTTGCTGCACGCATGCGTCACATTCCTACTGCCCCAGGATCAGACTGGAGAGATTTGCCGAATAATATCGTCCGTCTGTCCGACGGTACTTACACCAGCAAACTGTGAGTTATGGGTTCTATTGTTTTTTTTTTTGTTTTTTTTTTGTGAGTTATGGGTTCTATTGTTTTTTGATGGTCTTTCTTCAATCTTTCCACTGGATTGCAAAAACTTTGACAATTGAAAGTATGAACGATGAGCACTAGGACCTGATTGCTTTTTTTGTCAGTATTTGTTTATTTACAGAAACACATATTTACTTTTCCCATTCTTTATGGCAAATCTTTTTCATGATAATTCTCTCCTTTTGGGAAAGCTTGGATAGTTTTCACCATTCATCGCACACTACCAACTGAGGTCATCATTGAGGTTATGTAAACTCATAATGCCGTTGGGTGTCATCGTTTATGGTCAACACTTCTTTTTTTTGCAAACACCTGCATATACTCTCTGACTATTAAGTTGAGTCGAGAGGATATTCTTTTGGTTGAATAAGACTATCACAATACCTCGCTCTCTGCTAGGTATCAGTCGTAGGTTTCTCTGTTAATTCAAAGCGACTTAGATTACCAGAATGACGACTTAAGCGGTCTGGAGGGTGCCCATTGTCTGCCGTTTTAAATTTTTCTTCCTGTCTACTTTTTAAATCTTGAAATCCTGTGACGGAACAGGCTGTCTGTACCAACATGAAGCTGTTCCACCAAATTCCTAGCCTGCTTTGAGGGTAGAACAAGTTCTACCCATTCTAATATGTGTGGTATCACTCGTTGCAGAGCTTATACGCACGATGACAAGAAAAACGGTCGGTCATCCAACGATGAATTACGAGGAGTTTGTTCGTGCGCAGAGCGCAAGCCATGTGACCCGGCTGACCGTCAGGTCAACACTCTTATACCATGGTGTCTTCCACATACGGGAAACCGCCATAATCACTGGGCGGGGCTGTACGGTAGACTGGAGTGGGACGGGTACTTCAGTACAACCATCACGAATCCTGAGCCCATGGGAAAGCAGGTCGGCAGGTGCATTTACGATACAATCAGAACAGAGAAATTCCTTTGAGTACTTATGACCACTTTTCTGTTTGCGTTGTAAATTAGGAATGTCCGATCTTCTTTCTTTCTTCTGATTAGGGCCGAGTCCTTCATCCACAGCAACACAGAGTTGTCAGTGTGAGAGAATGTGCTAGGTCCCAGGGATTCCCCGACGCTTATCGATTCTATGGAAGCATCATCGACAAACATCGACAGGTGAGTGGTAAAATAGAACATGTAAAATCCGAAGGCGTCTAACAGTTTAGAATAAAACGTGAAAAGATAAGAAGAGAATGATTGTTCAACCACATTTTGGTTTATATATTTTGCCATCATATATAGAATTTCTGAAAGCTTAGAACAGATAAAAAAAAGAAGATGGATTTCGAACGCGGTCGCGGAATGAAGTGAGATGTTTATTCTATCGGATGAACTAAGAATAAGTTCTTATCTCATTTACTGATTTACTTTAATGTACCGGCCTAATTGACCTTAACCTAAGTTGTACCATTGTTTAGATCCGCCGAGGAGATTTGTAAAAACCTTTCTTAAAGCGAAAAAAATCATTTGACCTCACAATACTATGCCTCGCCTCTTTCAATCTCCAGAGGGCATACAAGTGAATTATTCCTTCTCGGTAGATAAAAGACACGTTTTTTGGGTTTCTTCAAAGACAATATCCGTCAAGGCAAACGAGTTTAGTTGTAGTCTCATTATAAGGGATTTCCGGATAAATGAATACGGCCGTGCGTTTGTCATCAAGATTGTGGTGTATGAAAATCAAGCTAGGTCACAGGAAGTAGCGTATCTTAGAAATTACCCAGTTTGGCGGCGAACCAAAATAAGCCTTAAACTCTTCCGGACAGAACCGATGTTTTTGTTGTTTCTATTATCACAGCCGCGAACATACTTGCTTTGCAACTCTTAAGTTACGTATTTTTGTTTTTTTTAAAGCGTTAATTCTTAAAAGTAGCTTTGCTGGCTTAATTCACGAAAGGGGAAATCGTGAGTCACAGTAAATTGGATGACCCAACTAACAAAGTATTTAAATGAATTTCCTGTTAGTCCGAGGCAAAATAAAAATAACCTCCTTGAATCAATCCAAGCGATGGAAAAACTACACAAGATGACTTAAATTATTCTAATAGGTATAAAAACAAATCTGAAGCTTCTTTCGAGAGAATGAAAACATCAAATATTTTAGACGATTTAGGGTCACAGAAACGAACGTGACAGCAAAGCTTCCCTCAGGGGATGGCGTCCGTAAATATGGAATCCACGTCATTCTGGTGGGCGCTCCCTAGTGGTTTTTCCTTGGGTGATATAAACACGCAGTCTGTCAATTATTCCTTGTTATTAATTGAAAACGCTGTTGCGTCATTTGTGCGCTTCCAAACGTTCTTATATTGACTATTAGAACCCTGAAAACCGTGGTTTATCTATAGACGGCATGTTTATTTATTTATTTATTTTAATTCTGACTGTACCAAATGCGTTTCTATGCGTAGCAGATAGCCCACTTTTTGAGGACTTAATCTCACGTAGTCAGCTTGACCACCTGTCATGCACTAATATTGTTGATCCTCTCCCCGTTAGGTCGGAAATGCGGTGCCACCGCCCCTAGCGGCCGCTATTGGCCGTGAAATAAGAAAATGTTTAACTCCTGAATCCAAGTCCAAATCGCCTGAGTAAAGACCACGCAGTGCACGCTGGCCGTGTATACCTTTTTTTTTCGATCCTTGCCGCGTCAAGACGTCACATAGGATTTGTGCAAACAGTATTTGCACTCTATACACTCAAATCTTCCTCGAATATATATACATGTACACATATAAATCAGCGTTTCACTCGTATGCCTTGGGATTAACACAACCACCGGTTGAGTCGGAAGCCACGTGTTTTTGAGAGCTATACCGAGCCTACTAAGTATTTATTTCACGATATATCACACTCTGCCCCAGTTCTGGCAGCGGATAGTTTGGCCCATTTCGTAACAAGTCATTCTAACGTTCAATAATATCTAGTGATATCTCGTAATTCCCTTTGTGGTGTATTTCTCCGCAACTATGAATGTCCTCGAAGCAGTGTTGTCCCTGTTCCAAAACTGCTCTAATAAGCTAAGTCTCCGACTCGCATTAAAGTCCCCTTTGGAAGTAAAACCACATTCAGATGGCTTTGTAAAGCTACACCCCTTCTCCGTTTCTCCATTACCGACAGATTTAGTCGAAAATGGGATTACCAGTGAAAAGTAATCTCAAAAGCGGATTCATTAGCCGCCACGCGAAGAAAGTCTCCAACAAGAAAATGAATATTATGAAAATTCTGTAAATTTTACGGTAAGCGTTATACGAATAATTTGACAAGCTGCAAAAAGACTAACTTGCCTGTACCGAAGAAGCTTTGCTGAGATATTTAGACGTATTTCTGCAAATTCAAAAGCGAACGACAGAGAAAAAACCCATATTACTTGCTGTGATGGGTGGGTGGGATGAATAAACTCGTGAGGAATGGGAACGACTCGGGATGGAAAAGATTTCTCAAATTTCAAAAAAGTTTTAGTTAAATTTGCAAAGATACTCATACTACAGCGTAGATGCTTTATTTTTCGAACATTCGAAATAAAACTCAAGTTAGATGACATGTTTATGTTAGGATAGTCATATCTAAAAGGTTCGTTGTCAATAACACATCACCCAGCAAAATGTATTGTACAATAATGATGCCAAAAAAATAAAAAATATACAAAGAACATCATTCTTGACCTGACTTGCGGATAAATATCAAACGGCATTTTAATTTCAAATATTCAATAAAGAGACAAAATTCCAACAAATCAAACAAAATGTCTCTCCTTACTTTACAAAAATGAAAAAATAATTTCCCAAGGAACGTTGGGATAACTTTAGTTAAACTCTCAGAACTGCTACATCAATATTAGCTAAATGGTGTAACCTTGATCTAACATCAAATTCACTTCACTCATTTTGGAGGACATGTATAAGAGCCAGAGGGGAGAATTTCTAGGACAATCTTGGGGGTAAGAGGGTTCAAAACATCAACATAAATGATCATGCCCATTGTTATAAACGTTCGCCAAATTACTCCTGTTTTCTTAAAAGACTGATTGGCAATAAAACAATTTATTATCGTCACAGCATTCTTGAGGGACCTCGCTTTCCCGTTCACGATTCGAAATCTATGATCCAAAAAAAATTGTCAAAAAAATTTGGGCTTTGAAGACAATTATCCAACCCAGTAGAACCGAATGTTTCACTTGTTGGTCTAGGTTTGTCTCCAAGGCAATCATATCTTGGCTGCGCAAAGTCAGGACTACTGCTTTGATGACGGGACCATTTCTAAATACTAGCATTCGGTCCGGCTACGTGAACAGAGTTAACAACAAACTGTTCGGCGCACATCAAAACTGTCCTCTGGTACTCGAACATCAACCCTTTCTGTGCACTTTAACATTCCATACTGACTTCACTGAGTCGCACACGCTCTGCTATACTGCTGTGTAGTTCCATGAAAGAGGGTCTCTCCTCCATTTCTCTTGTCCAACAGCGGCACATGACCTGGTACAGATCGTCTGGACATGTCTTCGGCTGAGGTAACCGAGTGGAGGGCGTACCCGTTCCATGGAAAATCTTCTGCGCGTTATCAATGACTTCCTCGTCGGTGAGTTCCGAGTAAGGATATTCTTTAGCAAGAGTGAGTATCTCCCATAGAGTGACTCCGAACGCCCACACATCACTAGACGTTGTAAAACGACCTGAAAATATCGACACATATGTGAAATGAATGTAAATGAAATAAGGAAAAAACAAGTGAGATGAATCTCTTTCTCCTCCGCATTTATCTAGTTGAAACTTGTGCGCCTCTGGTATGCGTCGTAAGGGTTCCCTGGAGCCCATCCTCGGCATGTCTCGTTTTCTTTCAGAAAATATCGTCCGATCTCAGTAAACCTCACGCTTCTCTGTAAAATTGGTCGTAACCAACCACCTAAATTACCGTTCCATATTAACACCTCCCATCGAACGAGTGCCTCTCCTATCGACCAAAATTCAAAATATACACCCCACCCCCTCTAAAACAACTACCTCCTTTGCTCCCACAGTATAATGGCCAAACGCTCAGACAATAACAAACGTATAACAACGGCGAATTTCCTCAATTTCGTCCACCCTTGCAAAGTTATACCGAATATGATCCACTTGGTAACACCTTGAGTTTAGAGAACTAATTACGAGTCCCAATTGAGCCGCTGTGAAACTTAAGAATCCGCAGTTAGTATCAATACACCGCTTTTGCTGTCGTTGACGCTGTATCACAAAAAACGATCACATCTGAACCCCCCGTCTTACCCTAAATTCGAGATAAACCCCAGGCACTAATCCGAGGACTCGTGGTATACTATGCCACCACCTCTTACCTTGTAGAATACATTCGGGCGCCATCCATCGTATTGGCAAAATCACACGTCCCTCGACGCGATAATAATGTTTAGAGTACAAGTTCCTTGACATTCCGAAGTCAGCAATTTTGACGGTGTTTGCGTGTCCCACCAAACAGTTACGCGTGGCCAGATCACGATGCACATAATTTAACGAAGATATGTATTTCATTCCTGCGGCCACTTGCTTTGCCATGTAAAACAGAGCTTGAGATGAGATATACTGTCCGGCATCTTGCCACCCCTCGCTTTCATTCAAGCTGGGCGTATGCTCTTTTTCTTTCAGGAACTGATTTAAGTCGCCATTGGCCATGTACTCAACTATCATACACATGGGATCATCCCGACACACACCTAACAACCGAATCACATTTGAGTGCTTCAGCCCCGCCATGGCTTTCACTTCTTTAAAGAAATCATCCTTAATGTTCTTATCAACGTTCAGCTTGAGAGTTTTAATAGCCACTGTTGTACGAAAACTGTTTTTGAACTCCCCGCCCAGAATGTCTCCCAATCGCTCAACCTCTCCAATATGCACCTCACCGAATTGTCCATCACCGATCTTTTCTTTGAAGTGAAGCTTGTGACGAGGCAGTTCCTTGAATGTGTCCAGTCTGGGTCTAAAGTTTAGCTCCTCGTCAGGATTACAATACAAACTGGTGCCCGATACGCCCTGAAATGGCTCGGAGTAAATCTCCTCGTAAATAGGATTTGGGAAAGTAGTCACTGATGTGGGAGAAATGACATCGATAGGATCAGCATACCCGCTAACAACTCTAGGTTTGGGAGAATCCGGTATCAAGCGATTTTTTTCGCATGGGGAGTCCGGCTCGGCATAGTCATTATATGCAACATCTGATTCCTCTGTTACGTCTACTTGAGGAAGACTTTGGGCTGTTGCGGCTTTGGGAGATCCACCATTTGTAGGTGAAGGTAAAAGAGGAGTGTTAGGTTCGGCGTAAATTACCTCTGAAAGAGGCTCAGGCGGCTTCAGTGGGGGTGGTATGGGAGGTTTAACTGCAGAGAGACAAGGACAAAAATAGATGATGAACAGTATAGAGTATTCACAGACTTTCTTTTTCTCTTAAAACATGGCCTTCCGCGCGAGTGTTGTAAGGAACGCGAACGCAATGGGAAGGAGATTTGAATTACTAACGTACAAACAATTTTTATTTGGTTGGCAACACCGTTAACATAGTTCCCCGTAACTTAGCTTTGAGAATTGGTTTATATTTCAAAATACCACCCGCAGTTCAGTTTTTTGCTACTCATCAATTCATTATGGGATAATGTCCTGATACCGTGGAGGGAAGAAACTTATTCCTTCCAGCAGATAAAGGGTTAATATTTTCTATACACACCTTTCTTTGAAGACTTGTGTTCAGAGTAAAGTCTTTCACCCTTTGGTATGTTGTTCTGTTCGTCGCTTTTCATAGTGCCTTTGTTCAGATCACCCTGTATACTAGCATATATAGGACATATGGTAACCTCTGCACCACTCTTTCCACCCGCCTCATTGTACACATTGTTCTTGAAGCTGTACCTCTTTTCTTCGTTTTCACTTGCTGTACTATCAAGTCGAGAAACGCGCTGCGGCGTCTGGTGACGCGCGTACGGCTTAACTTCGACTTTGATGAAGGAGTTGAATGGCTTTTCACGCTGAGAGAACCAGTGAGGGTAACGCTTGCAGCAAATGAACAAAGCAACAGCAACTAGGACTGCTACGACGGCACAGATGATTGCCGCAATTACACCACCGCTTAATGAACCCTTTCTAGTACCAGTCTCTCCTCCTAAATATCAAAGAAAACACTTCCGATTAGTATCTTTTCTCAAGTACATGTTGCATGTCTACTTTAGCAGTATGACCATTTGTTTTATGCAGGGAGGGGGGGGGGGGTCCTAGTCGGCAAGAACAGCACAGGGTTCATTTCCGCTGGCTGATTTGAGTCAGGAGGTCAAAATCTGCCAGCGGAAATGGCCCGGGAGGTGGTGGTTCAAATCTGCTAGGTCACCAGTCTAGTCGTGTGAGGAAAGCAGAGGGCTCGGCACTTTCCCGCTGCTTCGTGCAAACGGAAAATACAGCATTCTGTCAGGCTTTTTTTGGGCACTTCCATACGTAATAACTTCAAACAAGGTACATAATCGGATGTAGGAAAGAAAAGATATTATCAAACCTGTATTTCCTTCATCGCTAACTGATGGGCTGCTGCTGGTGATTACACCTCTTTGGCCAGTGGGAGATTTTGTGGACAAGGGAGGAATCGAAGCACACACGGGTATTGGGGGTGAGTTTTCATCAAGAGGATCTGACGTAAATAAAAAAGTTACGAGCATGTACACTAAGTCAACAAAGAAACTCAAGCTCAAACACCACAACAAAGATTACCTAAAGCTTCAACAAAAGGGAAAAACCTTAACACAAAAATACAATTGATATAGAGGAGGTGAAGATGGAAGGACTCAGAAAACAACAAGGACACTTCTCCCCCACCTCCATGAGCTTCCAATTTCTTCACACGTTTTTCATTTTCCTTTAAATCTACTAAATAATTAAATAATTATATCAGTTTTAGAGGCATAA